CACATAATTATTATTTCACATCACCTTTTCCACTTCAAAAATTAGTTTCTCAGATACGATTCTTTATCTATTTTCTTCTCAAATAAAAATGGATCAAAATGGGGCAAGAGTTAGGGTCATCTTCACCCGATCTTGAATGGGCAACACCTTCTATTAGATCGCTTTTTTTCGGGTGTTCATTATTCTTTTTCGGCACTCCTTTTAGTGGGCCACGTTTATTACACGGTGTAATAATCCACACTTTAATTTATTCTGTTTACAGCATAACAGAAAGATGGCTCAGAGCTACCTTCTGTTTAATGATTGGCAGTGTTTTTTGTTTTCACGATTATTAAAAAAAGAATGAATAATATAAAAAATGTTGTTAATTTTGGCTTCCAATGGGAATTTCTGCCTTCCAGTGAGATTTTGCAATAGTAAAAATCCAATGATACTATTAATTTTGCATCCCAGTGGTCTTCCAGCGGTCATCCAGTGACAACTCTGATTTAAAATGTAAGGATTCTGATGTAAGAGGTTTTCGGATAAACATCAAGACGAAAGTTTTAAACGAAATAGATAATTTTTACCATTTATTAAATTATTCTCAGTACAACAACTGCGAGAGAACCAAAATATATATCATCGTTAGCAGCTAGTTACAGCATAAATTTGAAATTCGATATTTTTTTTCTTCATCAATCGCTTACAATGTCTAAGTACTGCGGGATTCCGATTACGTATATACTGGATTATAATAATCAAAATCATGTGAGATGGACTGTGAAAATCAATTTAAAAACTGACTTGGCTTTTACTAGATTCATGCCAGATTCGATTACTATAAAATTTTTTTGTGCTTCCAACTCTACTGGCATGTTTTTAAAGAAATGCAAAAGTGGGATGAAAAATCACGCAATAGAATTTATACTGGAACACTTTTATCCGGTTTATATTCATTCGTTATCTTCTTTTTTTCCTAATTTAATGTTTGGAAATTTTATTGAACATGTAATTTGTGCTTTTATTCTCAAATTTTTTAAGTCAGCGCTGGTGCAACTTGCGGTGGATTAGTTGCATTCTTTTATAATCGATCTTTCTTTCGTTATACAATTGCTACAGGAATTAATTGTGGAATCTTTGGTCTTTCATTTTTTAGTAGGTTTAAATTTTATCTATTTATACTTGACATGAAATATTTTGAAATTATTTTCTTTTTTCTATCAAGGCATTCGAGAATTATGTTTAGCGCATCAACAAAAAAATAAACTAAGAAATTATAATATACGAAGCACAAATGAGCTCATCAGTAGTATTATTGCTGGTGGTTTGACTGGTGGTTTGTTTTCAACAATCATCTGTGAGTAATTTTCGAAATTTGTCTCCACGAAATGTTTTAGGAACTTGCGCATCAAAGTTTAGCTCCTCATGAGCTTCATTGTATTCACTCAAGATGGTCGACAAGGTCTTCTCCCTAGAATTTTTCTTTTCTCTCTTATAAGTGGCGTGGGACACGTTTGTTATACTAGTGCTTATAATTACAGGCAACGATTAATCCTTAAATCAAAAAACGTGCAACAATACCCTCCATTTGCGTCAAATTCCCCGACCAAAGAAATTTTGAACAATGCTAAAAAAGAATCAAATGATAAAAAAGAATTAAATGATAAAAAAGAATTAAATGATAAAAAAGATAAAAAAGAACTAAATGATAAAAAAGAGACAAAAGATAAAAAAATGATGGATGGACTGC